CTCTACCACTGAGCCACCTTCCCAGCCCCCCATTTCCAGTTTTATGGTTCATTGGAAATTCACAGTCTCACGGACTTCGCTGCCTGGGCTGGCTTTGAACTGCAACCCTCAGATCTTAGCTTCCTGAGTAGCTAGGATTACAGGTGTGAGTCACTGGTACCTGGCTAGGCATGCTTTCTTTTCTTCTTTTCTTTTTTTTTTTTTCCAGAGAGAGAAGAGCCCTGAGCTCTGATGGAGGTGGGGTCTATCTTCTTGTTTCTGTCTCTTTCAGATTGGCTCCTACTTTGGGGCCTCCCTGTGCTCCGTGGACGTCAGCAGAGATGGCAACACTGACCTGATCCTCATTGGGGCCCCGCATTACTATGAGCAGACGCGAGGGGGCCAGGTGTCCGTGTGCCCCATGCCCAGGGGGGTGAGTGGCACATGGGGCCTGGGCAGGGTGGGGGCTGGAGGGGGGGAGGGCCTGGGTTGTGCTGACACTGGTTTCATTGTGCAGAGGGCTCGGTGGCGGTGTGGGTCTGTTCTCCATGGGGAGCAGGGCCATCCCTGGGGCCGCTTTGGGGCGGCCCTGACAGTGCTGGGGGACGTGAACGGGGACAAGCTGACAGACATGGCTATTGGAGCTCCAGGAGAGCAGGAGAACCGGGGTGCTGTCTACATATTTCATGGATCACCAGAGTTGAGCATCAAACTTACCTACAGCCAGGTAAGGCCTGGTCACTATGTTGACCACAGTATTAACGGCTTTGCTGACCTGTCCCCCCGGAAGTTATCAATCCCACAGCTTTCCTATTAGTTGTTCCGGTATTCTTTGAACCTTCAAGAGAACAACTCACAGCTGGGAGCTGGTGGCTCACGCCTGTCATCCTAGCTACTCAGAAGACTGAGATCTGAGGATCACAGTTCAAAGCCAGACCAGGCAGGAAAGTCTGTGAGACTCTTATCTCTAATAAACCACCAGAAAATGGAAGTGGAGCTGTGGCTCAAAATGGTAGAGCAAAAGAGCTCAGGGATAATGCCCAGACCCTGAGTTCAAGACCTATGGCCACCACCAACAAAAAGAATAACGTACCCTTCACAGGTACCACAATAACTAACCATGACATAACCTTTT